CCTCCCCACCCCCCTCCCCCCTCCTCCTCCTCCTCCTCCTCCTCCAGGTTTGCTCCATCCAGTCCATTCAGCCTCCACATGCACACCAAGATCCGGACACCTTGAGAACAACCACATACCACACAATGAGGAGTGGTGTGTTTCCAGACCGACATCAAATTAGAGACACTTCTGAGGCGGGAGCACCTGTTCTGGGCCTGCCTTGGGACCAGCCTGGCAGGGTTCTCTACTCAGAGTCTCTGCTCAGCTGTATGAAACCACAAAGTCTTTTTCAGTTTCCGAAGCCTGTGCAGGTTCTGAGTATCCACACGAAAGCAACCCTTGGCGATCCTTTAGGTACCTTTGATAAAGCCTTCCGTGTCCATCCAACAATCACGTTGGTAAGCTCTAATGTCATGTTCCTTCTCCAGATTATAGCAAGCTGTGTCACAGCTTCACAAGCTGAAACACACAGATGCCTGTGTGATGGACATGGATAAGATCCCTGTTCACCTGCCTTTCCGTTCTGAGCCCGTGAGAGCAAGCGTTCAGGCTTTTCCCTCTATCAGGACATTTTCCGAGTTCAACTGTATATCTAAGTATCATCTTACCACTTTGAGAACACGTCCAGGTACTTTGCATAGTTCTGTCCTCTGAAAGTGACAGAACAGACATTTTACTTCAAAATCTGACAAGACAGTGACCGATTTCACTGTGTTCCAGGACGAGCACCCTAGGACCGCATGCGCCCCAGCTTGTCCAGGCCATCGGACAGGTTGACCTACTGAGGTTAACCATGAGACTCTTCTGAAGGGAACTGGGTCAGTTTGAGTAAAAAAATCAGGCTGACATTGAGTTCCCTTGATGAAAAACTTGTTGTTCCCCTGCCCTCCATTCACTGGAATATAAAGATGCTTAAAGGTGAGTCAGTCTCTCTGTCTATCTCTCTCTCCCCCCCTTCTGTCACTCTCTATCACACACACACACACACACACACACACACACACACACACAAAATCTATATTTTACCAACCTGGCCCCTTCTAACAGTCGACTCCTCACTACTGATTTTCTCTAAATTTGATGCTCACCCCCAGTTCTTCTGTTTGTTTGGTTCTGGCCAAAGCACATGACTCTTAGACTCCTAGAGATGCTCTAATCGTCTGCTCTCACTACAAGGTGCCCATTTGCCTCCTGATTTTCAACAGGTTTTCTGTATATAGTACAGGCCGACCTGAAACTGTTGACCCTATAGCCTCAGCTACTGCGTGCAGGGAATGCAGCTAGGTACCCAGGCGTAGCATGTCTTTTAAACTCTCCATGTAGCTGAAGATGACCTTGAACTTTAAAAACCTTCTGTCTCCATTTCCCACAGCTGGAATCCACTAAGCCTTTTTGACATGGTGCTGGGGCTCACACACAGGGATTCCTGCACGCTGGACAAGAATTCTCCCAACTGAGGTATATGTGTAGCCTTATCCTTTTCTCTTTTTTTTTTGAAACTGGATCTCATTCCACTCGGTCTACACTGGGACTTAGTACACAGCAACGGAAGACCCTGACTTCCTGAGCCTCTCGATTCTGCTCTCTGTGATCCTGATTTAGAGGCCAGCTCCACTGACCATGTCTTTTAAATTTTATTTTTGACCTATCTAGATAAACCTTTGTTTTCCTATGGAAGGATTTTCTTGGCACTACAAACAAGAGTTGCAGCCAGACCTTCCTCATCTTCCTTAAGCAGGTGAGCAGTGGGCAGGGTTGGAGCAATGGAGAAAGGACACTGTGCCTCCCACTCCACCCTATCTCCAGGAACATCAGAGTTCCTAGACAGTGGTTAACGGGACTGTCACCTGCGCAGCCAGGATGAAAGGATGTTCTGGCATACAGTCCTCAAGTCAGCTCTGTAGGTGCAACAGACTCTATGCAACAGTATGAAAAAAGGAACAAAAGACACAAGAACAAACAGCTCACACTAGGGAGCCGATGGGATCCAAGACAGTCTTGAGCCTCACCTACTGTTTGAGGGTTTCCTCAATTCACCCTTTGGGCAGACTCCCACCTCTCAGAGTTAGCGAGTTCTGTGGAGTCCTTGGAGTTTTCTTTACAGTAGATGCCAGAGTCTTAGTAGTGGTACATGCCTGTAATCCCAGGACTTGGAACCCTGAGGCAGGACGACAGCCACAAGAGCAAAACCAGACTGAAGTGAGTTCCACTCTAGTTTAAGCATCTCACGCTACCAAACAAAAAACAAAAAACAGCACAACTAGGGCCAGAGCTCAGTTGTGTATAGCATACTCAGGTCACTCACTTGGCACTTCCCCAGCATGGAACACAATTGGAAGTGGGGTCTATGCCTGTCATCACCACACTGTGTGGTGAACACAGAAAGATAGGCATTCAAGGCTAGACTGTGATGTAGGACACTCTTTGTTAAACATAATCATCCACCAAAAGCCTTAATGTTAAAATTAGAGAAAGCATGCAACTCAGAAAAACCTTGTATTTCAGGCTGGAGAGATGGCTCAGCAATTAAGAACACTGGTGGTTCTTGCAGAAGACCCGGGTTCGAATCCCAGCACCCACATGGTAGCTAACAACTGTCCGGAACTCCAGTTTCAGGGGACCCGACTGCTTCTTCTGTCCTCTGCGGGCATTGCATGACATGTGTACAGTTGCCTACACGCAGGGATTACTTGTGTACACATAAAATAGAAACTAAAAAAAAAAAGAAAAAGAAAAAAAAGAAATAAAAGAAATGTTTAAAAAAAAAAAAAAAGACTTGTATTTCTACTGAATCAGAATCCCTGTGTGGTGAGAAGTAAAGAGGGCCTCTGGTTACTCTGTGGTTTATAGCTGGAACAGGGTAATAAGCACAGGGCACACCCAGCATGCTTAGCAGTGGGGGAGAATGCCTTGCTGGTCCTATGGAAGGCAGAGGCAAAAAAGGGATTGCAGAGCAAGTAGGACCCCACCCCCAACCCCATTTGGGACAGTCCAGGAGGGGATAGAGGCTGCTGGCTTTGCATCAATCAGAAACTATCCCCCTGTGCTGCCCCTTGGTGGTGGCTCTACAACTCTGTGGCCCATGTCCTGGTTTTGCTGAAGCTTGTGCCTCAATTGATGCCTGGAGGGGGAAAAACCAGCTCCTTATTTTAGGGGGATTTGTTTGTTTATTTGATACAACGTCTCACAATGTAGTCACAGCTGCCCTGGAACTCACTATGCAGACCAGGCTGGCACCATACTCAAAGATCCCTTGCCTCTGACTCTGGAGAGTTTTTATTTATTTTTTAATTTTTATTACTTTATTTATTTATTTTTTATTCTTTGGTCTTTTGGAGACAATGCCTCCCTGTAGCCCCAGCTGTCCTGGAACTCACTATGTATACCAGGTTGGCCTTGAACTCACAGAGATCTGCCTGCCTCTGTCTCCCAAGTGGTGGGATTAAAGGTGTGCCACCACGCCCGGTATTTATTTTTTATTTTGTTTTATTTGTTTTTGATAGAGGGTTTTTATTTGTTGGAAAGTGCTGTCCTGGATATTATTATGAAACCCCGGATGGCCTCACACAGCAATCCTCCCATCTCACTCTCCATAGTCTTGGAATTATAGTCTTGCACCACTACGCCCATCTAACTTGGGTTTGTTCTTTCCTTCTTTTCTTCTCCCATACCTACAAAGAAGATAGAAACAAAGTCTTTCCAAGCTGAGCTACACAGGAGATGTCATGGGAAGAGGTGGTGTACACACTGCCCTGCATGGCCCAGTCACTCTTGTAGAGAGATGACAGACACCTCTGGGGGCCTCACTGGCTCCAGGCCAGTGAGAGATGCTGTGGATTGGCATTTGAACCTGGCCTGTGGCCTCCACAGGTACTACACATGTGCACAGCACACAGTGTAACCACGTATTAGTACACCTGCATGCAAACCTATAGTATGTGCATACACATGGATGTA